TCATTTGAACTTATAAATTCAATTTTGTCATCTGTGACCAAACATTTATTCCAGCAGCCAGAAATTTGGACCATACTTTTATGGTGAAAAGACCATGAGAATATAACATTCCCTCTGCCCATTTTCCTTTGCTGCAGTCTCCCAAATACCTGTTGAATAAAAGCAGAGACCCTATACTCTTCCTTGTAATAAAAAGATGCTTTGTATGAAGCATGTTCATTATATATTATCTGAGATACCCTAAGAGATTGATCTCAGTGCCCTAACTTCTGTACTCTGAAATTCTAACGTTTTTGGTTTCATAATAAAGTTGGAGATGAGGAAGACAACCCCAACTGCACAACTGCTGTTTTGAGACAAGAAGAGTATGTCCTCACTCAGGAAAAAAAATCTATTATTTTTTTTTAACACAGTCCTCACCCTCAACAACTTTCTCTGGACTAAACTTCGGTTTATTCACTCTGGTATACCAATGTTTTTTCTTCCAAAAAAGGGTTGTTGTATACATGTTTACTCACTTAAATCAAATTGTTTATAACAACATATTGCAGGGGTATACCCTCTTGCCATTCAATAACAAACCACAGCACTTCAGTTTGGGCTTAATGATAATCCATAATTAAACTCCCTTAATCATAAGTTGCGGTGACATTTTACTCAACATACTTAAGTTATACCCATTTCACCATACTTACAGGTTGCTGAATAAGCAACAATTAAAATTAGTTTGGTTTTGTGTGATGTCTGAATACTGTATTGTCTAATGGACTGTCTAAAAATTCTAAAGTTGTGATACTCTTCTTAAAAGCAGCTAAAACGAGTCATAGTGGTAATACACAAGTGTGTAAATAAGCAAAGGAAAACAAAATAAAATACTGCTTTAAAAAGTGAATTTACTGTCACAGTTGGTAAAGAAGCCACCCTATATTTGATGCTGAACTGCTCAGTTTTGCCTCGGTAACTGGGTTCGTGTTCTAATCTTGGTTTTAACCTTTGATGGAAGATCCAAAATCTGCACAATCAATTGAACAGATTCAATAAACCTCCGACAGACAATATGTTTCTTTTCATCCTTCGATAAAGATTTCTGATCCAATGGAGGGATCCTAACAGCAGGTGACTTTGGCATGGCAGGCCAGAATGCCAAAATGCTGGCAGGCCAATTATGGAAATTGATGTTCAACATATCTGAAGACCATCTGGTTGTGCAAACCTGATCCAGGCTTCTTTAAAAAAAAGGCAAGGGGAGAAAATAATTATTTGCTTTTAGCTCCAAAGGAAAACCAGATAAAAACTAGCTAAGTCAGTTGTTCCCCCCACCAAGTCTGTTATATTTTGGTCTATGATCAGCACATATAGCTGATCAAAAATGCAAATTATCTTTCAGAGAAACCAAAAAAATTCCAAGCAGGGTACTAGGAAGCAAATCTGGGGTAAACATTTATAAACCTAATAGATGATAGATAGACAGAGTGAACCCAACATATGAGACAGGAAGTCTGCTAATTGGGCATGGACATCATAACAGGTAATTCCTTTTAAAGTACTGTTACTAAATTGTATCTCTATCTATTTGGGGCAATTATGCTCCCTTTTGTGCTTTGCTGTACAAGCTGGATTATAGGAGAGAAGATGTTAACTTTCTAGCTAGTTAATACCATAAACGCACTTCACTAGCATCCAGTCAAATAAGAAACAAACAAAATTGCCACCTTACCCTTACTGACCATACAATAGTTGTGTCTAATAACAACAACAACAAAGAGCAGCTCCCTGTGTTTCCTGGTCCCTTAATAGTGAAGTTAGAGTGAGCTCTAACTTCACTGTTGGTTTGGTTCCATTGGGAAGATACCGCTCAGAAATTTTGTTGAGATTCCAATTTTTATATCGATATATTATTGTGCTAAGCACACACTAATAAGGAGTAGATTCGATTTAACACAATGAGGCTTCTGAGTAAGCATGCACAGTTAGAAATATTGTTGTTCATTAAAAAAACCCAACTGTTTGAACTGTTAGAACAATCCTTTGTCAGGAGAAATGGTAACTTGATAGATTTGGCCAAAGGTTGGTGTCTTTTTTCAGCATTGTGTTTGACAAAAAATGAAATCAGCTGCAAAGGAGTTGCCCCAAAATGTCTGCAAATGAAGATATAAAATGTATCTCAATGTTATATTGCTGTATGGAAATTTAAAAACAAATTAAGCTAACCCAGGCCCCAAAACCAAAATAAATGCCAAAGAATTTCTTCACTTTTGCATCTTCAAACAATTAGCAATATAAATACTTAGAAATATTTAAAAATGAAATCATAAATTAACAGTCAGAATTCCAGAATTGCTCATGGTAGCACTACATTTCCCCACTTGATTTCAGTATTTGATTTGACACTGGAGGATAAGCAGTAGATGTAACATTAGTGTCTGAGATCCACCTTGATCTGGGAGAGCTTTCAATGGCTGATATAGTTTAGCTGCCTGTTTCCATGCATTTTCGCTTCTCTGCCAAGTATGATTCATTACTTCAAAAATAGTTCTGTCTTATGTCCCAAGACCAACACCCATCAACAGGAAACAGATCTGAACCAAAACCATCAGACCAATAGCACAATTTGTCAATCAGATTAAAAACACAATGGCTTTACAGTGGGGAGATGAACTTTTCCTTCTGAAATTTAAAACAGTAGGGGAAAAAAAGCAAGATGTTAGTAACTCCAGATTTTGGTATATCAAATCATCTCTACCTCTTACAGTTGAGATATTCCAGATAAATTCAATTAATTGGTTACACCAGTGGCGCCAATGACAGTTTTTTTGAGATGAGAAGAGATAAAAAAGGGAAAAATGGTTATTGATTGTTGGAGTATATACTAAATATACTAAATATGGAGTGAGCGGCTATATTAAATCTAAATAATAATAATAATAACAACAACAAATATATAGTCAATAAGTTTCTATTTGCATCATCTCCTTTAAAGGATCCCTTTCCTTGTTTCATTGGTGTGCTAATATAATAATAATGTGAAACATTACAAATGTAGCACAACCCTATGCGTGTAATTTGGAAGTAAATCCTACTATGTTCCATGTGGTTACTCTTCAGTTAATGGCTTTAGTTATTATAGCTTTAGTTCATATGTTTCTTCATCCGCGATGTTCTTTTGCTGCACAGTTCAGTATCATATCGCTACAACCTATCAAGAATTGTAATTTTTCTGTCTCTGCTTGCTTAAGCCCCAACCTACGGCATGTTTCAAAGACTTAGCCATACATTTGGCAGAACATGGCACTAGTCCCCCAAAGAAGCAATTAAACCAAGCTTTTGGACAATTAGGGCTACAGAACAAGGAAGAACATTTAATGTGCCTGATGGCCTCAATGATTTCTATAAAGGCTGATGGTATTGAAATGATAATGGTGTATAGTTGACTAATCTCATTAAATTAACAATAACCATTTTAGATTGTGTTCAATATGATACAATTTTCAACTAATCAATTTTCTTTTCAGTAATGAATATTTTTTACTACAATTTTGTCTGAGAAAAGATTCATACACAGTTGTTTATCGCTATAATTGTACTAAGGTTCCTAGAGATAGCACACCAGAAAAAATCAATTTTTACCTTCATCTGCTTGCAAGGGAATGTCTTTCAGGGTGAATATAAGCATTGATATTTCTGAGGGCTTTCTTATTTGACAATTTTTTTCCATGGGAAGGCATTGGTTATATCTGCTATACCAGTGTACGTGTGTGTGTGTGTGTATGCATGTATGTTGGTGTGTATGTATACGAGAGAAATATCAGTAAAGGCTGATATCATGGATTCACTGCAAGTTTTGTTCTGTTTTCTTTCAGATCACCATGAAATGGTTGGCATGTTTTTTTGGTGGAACTGGCAGGACTTTCTATGAATATGTATTTTCTCATTGGAAGACATACTAAAGGTCCAAACATTTATGATTACTTTGCAGTATGTTATTAAAGCTTATCAAAATGTTGTTTAATGCTGAAAAGTAAATGCAGATGATCACAGCCATCCCTCTCTCTCTCTAAATAGATAGATAGATGAAGAGAGATGACTCTATCTATCTATCTATCTATCTATCTATCTATCTATCTATCTATCTATCTATCTATCTATCTATTTCCTTCCCTTTCATAAACTTAATCTTCATCCCATCCATGCATTTTTTTCATGTTTTTATCTCAAACCTGTCCTGAAAAGTATGACAGGGTTGTAAAATAGACAACAAACTAAATATTGACAAAAATATTGCAATAGGCAGGACCTTTTATACAGTTCAGGAACAATCTAGTAAAATTTGCTGCATTATGTTACACAGTAAATATCTACACAAAGAAACAATATAAACAATTTCTTCTGATTAGAAACCTTGTATTTGTGTATGTGAAACTAGCATGTAGCAGTTTTCAAAATGACATGGTTAGAATGCCATGAAATAAATATTTTGGAAATAAAACAGTGCCTGTATTTAACGGCAATTAACTTGCATAGCCATTGTAATGGAAGGATTTGTCTTGAGTAAGTTAAGAGTAACCTACAAGTGTTACCTATCAATGTTGAAGTTTAGGTTGAACTGCAAATTAGCAAAAGAGGTTGTCACTGACTCAACTTGTACAGGAGGGACAAGAGGCAGAGAGAGAGAGACAGAGAGAGAGAGAGAGGGAGGGGAAAAAAATAAAGTACCATTCCTTCATTCACATTTTTTCCCCACCCCCCTCATCAACTCTCAAGAGGAGAGGGAATTTGTATTCTCCTCTGCAACCCATAGTCAACCCAACTGTTGCAGAACTGTGAATTGCAGGTCAGAGCAGAGAACAGCTACCAAAACAGACATACAGTACATTACTGATACTCAACTGATGGAGTTACCTCTACACATTTTTAAGGATCCATATAGAAAGGCGAAGGAAGGATTCCAGAAACGGGGTGGAGAAGAAAGGGGTGACTCATCAGGAACGGCTGGTCCTTACCTTTAAGATCAGATCGGTGTGATGTTGGTCCAGCATGTTCGCCTTGACAAAGGATGTGATGATGACTCTGCCGTATCTCCCTGGGGTCTGCAGGTCGGAATAGAGCCGGTGCTTGGATCGGTTCACCGGGAAGAGGCTATTGACCAGGTTCCTCTCAATCTTGGCCAGGCTGTGTTTGGGGGCCAGCAGGTGTTCAACGCTCTCCTCGATCTGGTACTTGCTGAAACTGGCCCCCAGCAAGATGGAGATGAGCACGGGCGCAGAGGCGAAGAAGACCGGGTGGCTGGCAATGAAGTGGCCGAGTCTGGCGAAAGACGTTCTCAGCCCCCTGTGCAAGACCTGCCGCAACATTCTAGTGCAGAAGCAGCTCAGGAGGGCGAGGTGCGCACGACGGAATCTGAAGCTCTCCCAGAGCCGAGGCAAAACCATCGGGGAGCCCAGGCAGGCGGGAGCTTCCCCTGCGGGCTGAAATTGACCGAGCAGGCAACTCGCCCTCCCCCTTTCGGCGCGGTGGGTGCTAAAGCTCTTTGCCTCCCTCCAGGCTGCCTAAGGGAGTTTCCCGGCGCCTCATTGTCTGACTTTAAACAACAACAGAGATTCCGAAGGGAGAGGGCGGGAAGAAAAAAAAAAAAAAGAAA